ATTAAAAAAAAAATACTATCTAGATCTGAACAGTGGAGTTTTTATAATTCTCACTTGTGAAAATACATTCATAATACCATAGTACTTTTTTAAACACTTATTTTTTAAAATTAAAACAGTAATATGTGAATATATGCTCATTATAGCTTATCTAGACAGTCTAGAAATGTCGTGGCTTCTTGCCTCTTCCTCCTATTTGCACCTCTCCATTCCATTTTCCTTTTTAAAGGATATTGCTATAATAATTTGGCATATATCTTTTAAAATATTTTATATGTATTAATTATTCGTGCATATTTATAGATATGTTTTTTTCACATATATTTTGTGATTTGTTTTTCCATTCAGCAATATGCCTAGGAGGTCTTTTCATTTATATGCATTTAGATCTATCTTATTATTTTTTTCAACTTCAATTATTTTATTATGGCAAAATATATATAACATAAAATATATCATCTTAGTCATTTTTAAGTGTACAATTCACCATCATTTAGTGCATTCACCCTGTTGTGCAGTCATCACCACCACCCATCTCCAGAACTTTTTTTTATCATCTCAAACAGAAACTCATCAAATGGTAACTCCTCATACCTAACTGCCCCCAGTCCCTGGTAACCACTATTTTACTGTTTCTCTATGAATTTGAGTATTCTAGGTACCTCATATAAGTGGAATTACATAGCATTTGTCTTTTTGTGTCTGACTTTTGTTGTTGGTGGTGGTGGTATTAGGCTTTGAACCCAGGGACACTTCACAACTGAGCCACATCCCCAGTCCTTTTTATTTTATTTTATTTTATTTTTTATTTTGAAACAGGGTCTCTCTAAGTTGCTTAGGGCCTTATTAAATTGCTGAGGCTGGCCTCGCTCTTGTAGTCTTCCTGCCTCAGCCTCCCTAGTTACTGGGATTGTGGTGACGCGTGGCTCTGTCTGGCTTATTTCACTTAGTGTAATGTTTTTAAACTTCATCCATATTGTAGTATCTACTTATTTTTAACTATTGTATAGTAATCCACATTATTGATGGATACTTACATTGTTTCCAATGTTTTATAATTACAGAAAATGTTAAAATAAAGACATTTATGCATAAGTCATTATTAAATATTCTTGAAATCTTTCCCACAGACTTTGTAAACATGTATGTTTGTACATATGTATTTTTTCTCCTAGGTTGATATGGAAGTGACCCTCCCAGGTGAGGGTAAAGACCAAACCTTCAAAGTGTCTGTTCAATGGGTGTCTGTTGTAAGCCTTCAGTTGCTTTTAGAAGCTTTAGCTGGGCACTTGAATGAAGTCCCAGATGACTCAGTACAAGCACTTGATGTTATCACAAGACATCTTCCCTCTATGAGGTCAGTACCTTGGTGTGGATTCCTTCCCGTAGATGTTCAGGCTTTTTGGTAGGTTACATTTAACCACTGAAAAGTTCTGTATAAGTCATAATTCAAACTTAATTTCATCTCACAAAGTTCAGAGCGAAATGAAAAATCTTTCAAGGTTTTTTTTTTAATTTTTTTTTTTTAGTTGTTGATAGACATTTATTTTATTTATTTATTTTTATGTGGTGCTGAGGATCGAATCCAGGGCCTCACACATGCTAGGCAAGCACTCTACCACTGAGCCACAACCTCAGCCCCTTTCAAGTTTTTGTTATGAAACATGCACTCTTATTTCTCCAGGTATACTCCCGTGGGTCGTTCCTTCTTCTCACCTCCTGAAGGTTACTACCACCCTCTGGGAGGGGGCAGAGAGGTTTGGTTTGGTTTCCATCAGTCTGTAAGACCTGCTATGTGGAACATGATGCTCAACATTGATGGTAGGATGGAACTCTCTTTATTCATTAACTTTTTGGCTGTTTTTTGTTTGCTTGTTTGTTTTTTGGCCCTTCCCTTCCCCCTAAAGCTAAACATCTTTCCTCTCTGTTAGTATCTGCAACTGCTTTCTACAGGGCTCAGCCTATTATTGAGTTCATGTGTGAGGTTTTAGACATTCAGAACATCAATGAACAGACCAAACCTCTAACAGACTCCCAGCGTGTCAAGTTTACCAAAGAAATCAGAGGTAGGTGTTTCCATTAATATAGTCTTGGTGAGGCAACTATGTATGGTGTAAGTGGCCTTGGCTTTGAAGTCAGAAAAGGTTGGGCTTCCATCCCAGCCTAGTTAGTTGGGCAAGTTCCTTAACCACCTACCTAATAATTTAAATAAACTAACACTGTGAGTCTTGGTTTATTTAAATTATTCATCTCAAGGAACAGGCAATAATATATGTCTGCAGAGTTGTGAGAATTAAATGCAATTAGGTTTACAAAGTTTCCTGGTACAATATCTGTCATGTGTCAGTCTCTCAATAAAATTATCCTTACTTACTTAAAAACTTTACCAGCTACATGCAGTGGCACACATCTGTAATCCCAGTAGCTTGGGAGGCTGAGGCAGGAGGATCACAAGTTCAAAGTCAGCCTCAGAAACTTAGCGAGACCCTGTCTCAACATAAAACATAGAAAAAGGGGCTGGGGATTGGTTCAGTGGTTAAGCACTCCTGGGTTCAATCCCTGCCCCCTCCAAAAAAACCTTTACCTTTTAATAAAATAATGCAAGTTTATTTATTATCCTTTTGGAATTTCTTTTCTTCTTCACTTATAGTTAGCTATATTCTCTCACTATAGTATAAATTTCATGAGGGTTGTCTCCAGAGCTGAGAATAAATTTCAGAACGTAGTTAATACTTATTAAATTTACTGAATGAATTAACAGAGTATGTTAAACATCTTAGATCATCTGAGTTCTAATTTATTATGCTTAGTTGAGGGGTTTTGCCTGTTAATGATTTTTATTTCTATTTATTTATTTGGTACCAGAGGTTCCTCAGCCTTTTTATTTTGTGAATTCCTGAGGGTCTTGCTAAATTGCCAAGTCTGGCCTCAAACCTGTGATCCTCCTATCTCAGCCTCTTGAGTCTGTGGGATTACAGGTGTGCACCACCTGGCCAGGTAATGTCATGATTTAAAAAAAAAAAAAAAATGTTCAACAAGTTCCAGGCCAGCCACTGCAATTTAGCAAGTCCTTGTTTCAAAGTAGAAATTGAAAATGTCTAGAGATGTGACTCAGTAATAAAAACAAAACAAAACAAAAATGCTCCTGGGTTTGATTCCTAGTATGGCAAAAAAATAAAACGAAACAACACTTGAATCAGTTTTTGTAACGTTTTGGCTTTTTTTTTTTTTTTTTTAACTTTAGGTCTCAAAGTTGAAGTGACTCACTGTGGACAGATGAAACGAAAATATCGAGTTTGTAATGTGACTAGACGACCAGCCAGTCATCAAACGTATGTTAATCACATCTAAAATGACATAACATTTTTGGTAACAAAGGAAGCTACTAAAATTATTTGTGAAAACTGTAGTATAATTTTTTAAAATATATTTTTTTTATTTGTAGATGGACACAATACCTTTATTTTATGTTTATTTTTATGTGGAGCCAGGGATCCAACCCAGTGCCTCACATATGCTAGGCAAGCACTCTATCACTGAGCCACATGTAGTATAATTTTCAAGATTACCAGAATCTTTATTTTAATACCAAAGCTTTAAAAAATGTTTGAAATATTTTTCATAGAGATATTTGTTTCTTTTTCTTTTCTTTTGAGTTAGATCTTGCTTTTTTTGCCCAGGCTGGTCTAGAACACTTGGGCTCAATCACTTCTCCAGCCTTAGCCTCCTAGGTAGCTGGGACTACAGCTATGTGCTGTTACACCCACCTTGGACAAATTTTTATGAAACATATTTCCTGCCTTCAATTCCATTCACCTTTTAAAATTAGCATGTTAAACATAGGTCAACTTTTATTTAACATTTTTATTTGACATATTATCAGCATCATTTATCATATTGTTGTAGTTGTCAATACAGGGCCTGCAAGTTCTGTTGAAACCTAGAAGTCATATAACCCTGTCATGGGAAGACTTATATTGCTTTGTAATTTTTTTTTTGTTGTTGGGAGGGGGATGCCAGGGACTGAACTCAGGGACTGGGATTGAACTCTTTCTGAGGGGCGGCCGGGTTGTGGCTCAGCAGTAGAGAGCTCACCTAGCACATGTGAGGCCCTGGGTTCAATCTTCAGCACTACATAAAAATAAATAAATAGAATAAAGACATTGTGTCTATGGAAAACTAAAAAAACAAATATAAAAAAAAATTCTTTCAATTTTTGAATTAAATTTTTTTGTAATCATAGTTTTAACAAACAGATCATTTCAATTGAATTCTTTTCTTGTGGTTCATGACTAAAGACTAAAGAGAACTGAAAATACTCAAAGATTGATCTTCTTTGTTTGTTTTGGGCTGGGGGTTTGGTGATGCAAGGGATTAAACCCTTGTGCAAGGGCCTTGTGCAAGGGCCTTGTGCAAGCTTAGCTCTGTCACTAAACCACACCTGCTGCTCCGATCTTTGTTTTTTAAGTGACTTATCAAGGTAGGAAAATGTTAGTAGGCTCTATTTGTTTACTTATTTAGGAAAATTTGAATTTCTAAAATTCTCTCCTATAGTTTTCCTTTGCAGCTAGAAAATGGTCAAGCGATGGAATGTACAGTAGCTCAATATTTTAAGCAAAAGTATAGTCTACAGCTGAAATATCCCCATCTTCCCTGTCTCCAAGTGGGACAAGAACAAAAGCATACATACTTGCCACTTGAGGTAAGCTAAACTACATTTTGTTTTGCCAATCTGCCAATCTCTTGTGTTGTTATTATTATTATTATTATTATTATTAAAGATACCACTCTAAAGTGGTGGTGGGATTTAATCTTTCTGAAGTATTTTGGGTAGATAACTTCACTGTCTCACAGTTTTTATTTTTCTAGAAATGGAGGATATAGGATAATTTGGCAAAAGCTTACAATGAAGAAACCCATTACTGCACAGACTAATTTCTCTTTGCTTCTTGGCAGGTCTGTAACATAGTGGCAGGACAGCGATGTATAAAGAAACTCACAGACAATCAGACTTCCACGATGATCAAAGCCACAGCAAGATCTGCTCCTGACAGACAGGAAGAGATCAGTAGACTGGTCAGTAAGGCCTGGTCTTCAAGATCAGCCAGCTCTAAGATGAAAAAACAAAAAACTAGAAGATTCCTGATGGGACACAGTTACTCTGGTTTTTATATATGCAAACTTTCTGGTTTTTTTTTTTTTTTTGTTGTTGTTGTTGTTTTTTAGGTGAAGAGTAACAGTATGGTGGGCGGACCTGATCCTTACCTGAAAGAATTTGGGATTGTTGTGCACAATGAAATGACAGAGCTCACAGGCAGGGTGCTTCCAGCACCAATGCTGCAATATGGAGGACGGGTAAGGCGTTAAAAAAAAAAAAAAAAAAAAAAAAAAAAATCCCAGCAAGCTTCTGCCAAGCCGGTCAAAAGAAGATTATAATCCAGAATTTTTCTACTTCACCCATTGAATTTACCCATAGTTGTGCTTATTATTGCTTTTTGTCTTCTGGCTTATGCCAGATAGAATTTTGTTTATTCCCTCCTCAACATTAAAATGGCCTTAGATTGTAATGTCTTTCTCTTTTCTTTTGTTTCTTTTTTTTGTTTTGTTTTGTTTTAAAGAATAAAACAGTAGCCACACCCAACCAGGGTGTCTGGGACATGCGAGGAAAGCAGTTTTATGCTGGCATTGAAATTAAAGTTTGGGCAGTTGCTTGTTTTGCGCCTCAGAAACAATGTAGGGAAGATTTACTAAAGTGAGTATCTTCGTATTTTCAGCCTAGTAGTATCCCTTCCAGATATGAAAGTACCATCCTTATGTGAATGTGCTGTGTACACTGGCACTAAATCCCTGACTCCTGTAGTGATACCCTCTGGCTCTGTGGAAAAGACCTTGTGTTATAGTAAATTGCAAACGTGGGAATTACATTAAGAACCCGACTCAGTTTCTATATATTTAGAACAGAACTTTGTGAGTGACAATGCTAAAGCAACGCTACTTGGAGAATTCTTAGTTCAGATTCCTTTCCTGCTAATTTTATCTTTCAGCTAAGATAAAAACTCACTTATTTTTAGCCATTATTATTTACTAGTGTAGCCGGGTGTGGTGGCGCACGCCTGTAATCCCAGCGACTCGGGAGGCAGAGGCAGGAGGATCGCAAATTCAAAGCCAGCCTTAGCAATGGCAAGGCTCTAAACAACTCAGCGAGACCCTGTCTCCAATAAAATACAAAATAGGGCTGGGGATGTGGCTCAGTAGTTGAGTGCCCCTAAATTCAATCCCTGGAACCCAAATAATGATGGTGATGATGATGATGATGATGATGATGATAATAATAATACTTTACTAGTGATCCTGTTTGATGGCAAGGTCACTAGCTGGAAGTATTGGCTCACATCTTACAGATGCATCTATCTACATAAAGGAAGTTAAGGAAAAGGTGAAAAAGTCAAGTGAGCTGAGATGAAAGAAAGGAATCCTACAAAATATTGGCAAAGAAATTATTGTAAAAGCTTTATACATAGATTGAAATAACATCTTAAATTTGAAATTTAAAACTTAAAAGTGAATTTCAATTTTAAGTGATCTCTTTTGATACTATTATTGAAACGGATCTTTTACAAGTTTGATGGTAATCCTAAATACACTGATTTTGTAATAGCAAGTTTCTGTGTTCTCAGTTGAGTACAAGCTTACCCAACTCTTCTTGTATGCCTTACCAAAATGTTTGTTACCTGAAATTTTGATCCTCTTTTCTTCTGAATAGAATGACTAATTTCAATATTTTAAAAAATCTTTGAACAGGAGTTTTATTCTAGTCTTGGGGCCCAGCTGAGCCATAATCATTGAAAATTTCAAAATGATGGAGCTGGCAGTTTAGCTTAGTAGTAGAGCATTTGTTTAGCATGTGCAAGGTTCAATTCCTGGGTTCAATGCTTGGGTTCAATCCCTGGCACTGGGAAAAAATCAAAATGATAATCTGATGATTTATTAATACAGATTCTTATCTACTATAATTGCAGTAGTACAACTGCCAGTCTATTTTGGCAACTAGTTAAAAAATTTTTTTGTTTGTTTATTTGTTTGTTTCTAATTTTGGCTAAGAATTTGCAGAACTGAAAGTATTTTAAGAGGATATTCATGCTAAGAATGTGCACTGAAATGAAAGCACTATGCCACTGGTTTTTTTTTCCAACAGAAGTTTCACTGACCAACTGCGTAAAATCTCCAAGGATGCAGGAATGCCCATCCAGGGTCAGCCATGTTTCTGCAAGTACGCACAAGGGGCTGACAGCGTGGAGCCCATGTTTAAACATCTGAAAATGACATATGTGGGCCTACAGCTGATAGTTGTTATCTTGCCGGGAAAGACACCAGTATATGGTATGGATCACTTTAATGCTGAATGAGGGATGATTTCAAGTAGTAGGTGTGACAGTCAGGATAAGCTAGGTAGGGCTAGGTAGGTCACAAAAAATCTCAAACTTTCCGTGGTTCAAAAGAAGAAAATTGTGGGTAGGGGTATACTCAAAGGTAGAGCCCTTGCCTAACATTCACAAGGCCCTTTCTTGCTTCTGCTTTGTATCTATTGAAGGTAGATGGTGACTTCTGCTCCTTGCCATCATGTCATACCCACTCTGGGACCCAGATTGGCAGAGCAGTCACTATTTGGAATGTTGCTAGCCCTCCACTCTCTTTTCTGTTTGCATCTCCTTGGCCATAACCAACCATAAGGGGGCCAGGAGGACAGGTGGGGATGTGGGCAAGAAATGCAGTACAATCCTGTCACGGCCTAGAAAACTGGGAGAACTGGAATGTGTGATGAAAAGCACTTAGAAATATCAGAGTGGGGATGAGGAGGGGGCGGAGCCTGCCACTTCCAGAAGAGGATCTGCTTAGTTTGTATCTATTATAACAGTGATACAAAGTTCTTTTGGTTATCATGGAAGTAAAGGTTGTAGGAGCCACTGACCAGCCCTTAGACTTTATAAAACTGTCTTCATCCCTGTCTGTGTTTGCTTCTTTTGTTACTTTCTGTTTATCCCTAGTGTTGGGAGTCGGGAGCAGAAAAGTAAAATTCAAAGGGCTGGGAGGGAGAAACAAGTGGGAGGAGTTTGATTCCTTTGCCAGAGCAGTTATGTGGGAGAAGAAACCTCAAGGGACTGAGCAAGTGGTGGCAGACAGCACCAAAGAATAAGGGAAGCAGGCTGGCATCAAGGCCTGCAAGAAGGAGAAGAGGAGCCTGGAGAACCAATCCAAGGGAGGCCTACCTTGGAGGATGAGCAGATGAAATGACCATCCACTCCAGTGCTAAGCATCTTAGCACTATTTGCAGTATATAATAGTTGCTCTGTTAATGTTAAATGGGGTCTTTTACTCTTGGTAAAGGAAATTAATTAAAATAATTAACTTATTTTTGTAGCGGAGGTAAAACGTGTTGGAGATACCCTTCTAGGTATGGCCACACAGTGTGTCCAGGTGAAAAATGTAGTGAAGACCTCACCCCAAACCCTTTCCAATCTTTGCCTGAAGATAAATGCAAAGCTTGGAGGGATTAACAATGTACTTGTACCTCATCAAAGGTAAGATTCTAACTTCTGTTTTTTCTACATTTGCTTAACATCTAACTTACATAATTTATGGTAAAGCATAAGTATCTCAAATATGCATCTTGATTATTATTTGTTTTATATGTGTACACTCATGTACCATCCACAACCCAGTTATGATGTAGAACATTTCCAGCACCGAGTTAGGCTTCCTCTGGCCCCTCCAAATAGATGAGGGGTGTAGTTCACTGTTAGAGTACTTGCCTAGAACACTTGAGGCCCTGAGTTCAATCTCCAGCATCACCAACGAAAAGCAAAACAAAACAAAATAGATGTCCCCTCCGCAAAGGTAACCACTATTTTGACCTCTATCATCATAGATTAGTTTTGCCTAATTTTGACCTTGATATAAACGGACTCATATAGTATGTATTATATTGTATATCTTCTTTTGCTCCACGTTATTATCTATGAGATTCATTTATGTTGTTGCATTTCACAGTAGTTCATTCTTTCTCATTGCTGTGCATTATTTCATTATATGAATAACTCACAAGATTTTATCTATATGGAAGATATTCTTATACATTTATTGTATAATTTTGCATTTTTTGGTGGGTGTGAGCATTATTTCTTTTGTGTGAATTCCAGGTATGAGATTGCTGAGTTATAGAGAATACAGTTATAGAGAATATTTATGTTTTGCATCAATAGATACAAACAAGTACTTTTCCAAGTTTCTATACTGATTTACTTCCCACTGAGAGTTCTAGTTGCTTCATACCAACACAGGGAATTATCAGTTCTTTTGTGAATCTTTTTCACTAATACATCTTTGTGGTTTATGGTATATAAGTCCTTTCTAGGATATATGTATTACATAATGTCTTTTCCTATTCTGTGTTTTGTGTTTTGCCTTTTCACTCTGCTAAATAGTTACTTTTTTTTTTCTTTTTCTTTTTTGGTAATACTGAATATTGCATCCAGGGCCTCAGGCATAGTAGGGAAGTGCTCTACCTTTGAGGTATAGTCTCATCCTTTTAAAAAAATTTTATCTTAAAACCAGCTGCAGTGACAGACACATACCTTTAATCTCAGGTACTTGAAGACTGAGACAGGGGGATTGCAAAATGAGGCCTAGTACATTGAGGCCTGCCTCCTGTACTAGTCAAGAGCTCTGATACTGAGCTACATTCCCAACTTCTATAAACTTTAATGAAGCTGAGTTTATTTTAATATTTTTTTTCCAGTTCTGGGCATTGAACCCAAGGCCTAATGCATGGTAGACAAGTACTTTACCACTGAAGTACATCCTCAGTCCTGCTCAACTTTCTTTTTAATATTTATTTTTTAGTTGTAGTTGAACACAGTATCTTTATTTTATTTATTTTTATGTGGTGCTGAGGATCGAACCCAGGGCCTCACACATGCTAGGCGAGCGCTCTACCACTGAACCACAGCCTCCCTGATTAACTTTTTTATGTCCTGTTAAGTAACCTCGCTTGAGGGCTGGGGCTATATATAACTCAGTGGTAGAGCATTTGCCTAGCATGCACAGGCTGTGGGTTTGATCCCTGGTACCTTTAAATAAAGAAGGAACCTTGCCTGTTAACCCCAGTGGCTTTTGTTTAAATTTGAATTTGTCAGACCCATTCTAGAGTAACCAAATGCCAAAGCAAGACAGTGATATTATAAGCAAAGTACTGGCTAAAAGTTAGGAGATTAGCCAGGCATGGTTGTGCACACATGGAATCCCAGTGGCTTGGGAGGCTAAGGCAGGAGAATCATGAGTTCAAAGCCAGCCTCAGCAACTTAGCAAGGCCTTAGAAATTCAATGAGACCCTGTCTCTAAATAAAATATTAAAAGGGCTCAGGGTATGGTTCAGTAGTTAAGTGCCCCTGGATTCAATATCTGGTAAAAAAAAAAAAAAAAAGGCTGGGGTTATAGCTCAGTGGTAGAGCACTTGCCTAGCATGTGTGAGGCACTGGGTTTGATTCTCATTGCTGCATATAAATAAATAAAAATAAAGGTCCTTTGACAACTAAACTAATTTTTTTTAAAAGGAGATTTGAGTATTGGTGCCCGTATGAACTTTTTTCGTTCTTTCTTTTTTGTATTGCTAGGGATCAAACCTAGACCCTCACATATACCAGCATCTTTCAAGATAATAATATCTGCCTTATCAAATCTAAAATATTGTTTTTAATGTGAAATCCTATATGTGAAAATGATTTGAAAAGTTAAATTTAGGACTGTAGCATTAGTCATTGCTGTATTTGAAAAGAGGGTGTGATGTTGAGTGACTTGTACTTATGCAATCTTATCACAATTCTCATTTCTGTTCTTGAGTGAAACATCTGGGTAAATAAATCTTTTTTGAAACATTGGTGATGAGGCATACAGGTCATAGGGAAAGAACCTAAGATCACTTAATTTTTACTTCATTCTTTTGAGATAATACAGTGGCTTAGAGTGCAAACTTCGGTATCAATTTCTTGGGTTTGTATTCTGGTTTTACACTTCCTAAGTCTGTGATCTTGGGCACATTCTCTATTCTCTTATGTCTCATCTTTTTTTTAATCTAGAAAATAGAGAAAAAATTTACCTCTTTCATAGAATTGTTGTGAAGACTAAATGAGTTAATACAGGTAGAGTAGCAGGGTAGCTCTCACATAATATACACGAGCTGATACTATGTTGTTCATATTCATGGCACATATGTTTGTTGTTATTAATTGTTCTATGCTGAGCCTGTGTTTCCTATGATAGAGAAATAAACAGCACACAGCCTCTGTCTTCATGGAATCTCATCTTTAATACCTGTTACATGGTTAGATTTGGGATGCTTCCTAGATGAAGTCCCAAATCCTATATTTAAGAATTTAAAACTTCATATCATATTTTTTCTCCCCCCCTCCTTCTTTTGGCTAGCTTTAACCAGAGAAACATGCAAGCCATTTTTTTTCCTTGATTCCTTAGATAGAGAAATCAGTGCCAAATAAATGAGTTCATTCTTTCAATAAATATTTATTCAGTGCCAAGTATGAGCTAAAGCAGTGTTCTAGGCACTAGGAAATAACAGTGACCAAAACGAAACAAGACATCATTCTAAACCCTTATAGAGCTTACATTCACAGGCGTGTACAGACAAAAAGATAAAATAAATAAGTGAAAATATATAGTATAAATGATAAACATTATGGAGAAAAATAAAACCAAGAAAAAGATAGGCTTGATTCTGTTCCTGAGTTGCACATTTTAAAGAGAATTGAGGTTTGGGTACTTTTATGTTCTCTCCTCGTAGGCACAGATTCTCTCTTAAGATTATATCTATGATCAGGATAATGATACAGTTTTTCGAGACCCAAACATTTTCACCCGTATGTCTGAGTGGCGCTGTTTCCCTGATTCTGAGCAGGCCCTCGGTGTTCCAGCAACCTGTCATCTTCCTGGGAGCAGATGTCACTCACCCTCCAGCGGGAGATGGGAAGAAGCCCTCCATAGCGGCCGTGGTGGGCAGTATGGATGGCCACCCCAGCAGGTATTGCGCCACGGTTCGGGTGCAGACTTCCCGGCAGGAGATCTCCCAAGAGCTCCTCTACAGTCAGGAGGTCATCCAGGACCTCACTAACATGGTTCGAGAACTTCTGATCCAATTCTACAAATCCACACGCTTCAAACCCACTCGCATCATCTATTACCGCGGAGGGGTATCCGAGGGACAAATGAAACAGGTACTCTCATTAGCCCATTGTTGCCATCTGCAGCTAATAGGAATCTAAAGGGGCATCCTCCCATGGGCTCCTCAGTAAATCAGCTCTGAGAGATACTCTCTGAGACATGATTCCATTTCTGTCTCCTAGGTAGCTTGGCCGGAATTAATTGCGATTCGAAAGGCATGTATCAGTTTGGAGGAAGATTATCGGCCAGGAATAACATATATTGTGGTGCAAAAGAGACATCACACAAGACTGTTCTGTGCAGATAAAACAGAAAGGGTAAGAAGACGGTAGTGTAAAGTTTCAGTATCTGACTCTGTGGCAAGGGAATCTGGTTTTGGTTCTGGTTCTGGAGTTTGAAACTAGGGCCTTGTGCACACTAAGCATCCTGCTCTACCACCCACTGCCCCTGAATGCCTCCTTCTCCCTCCCTCCCTTCCTTTGCACTACTAGGTATTAAACCCAGGGTGGTTCTACCACATCCCCAACCTCCCCCCCTCTTTTTTTTTTTTTTTTTTATTCTGAGACAAGATCTCTCTAAATTGTCCAAGCTGGTCTTGAATTTCTGATTCTCCTGCCTCAGCCTCCTACCCCACAGAATAGCTGTGGGATACAAGACTGTGCTATCACTTCCAGCCAGATCTGAAGTGGGCATATTTATATTTATTTCCCTCAAAAGCACAAGTACCTAATAATAATTTAATAAACATAGTAATTGCAGTTGAGTTTACATGGCTAATTCTGAATGGTACAAATTTCAGGAATGAATTTTCTTTTGTGTGATAGAAATGCTGTCTTCTAGAGCTTTATTGGGGACGGGGAGTAAGAAACACACCAAGTACATTAGGGTGACAAAGATAACCTTAAGGGGGAGTTTATCTGTTTGAACTTCATTGCCATTTGCTATTTTTTACTGCCAATGCCTGGACCACAGTTGGAAGTAAAGAATTTCTCTTCCTGGGACTGGGTTGTAAGTCAGTGCTAGAGCACTTACCTAGCATGTATGAGGCACTGGGTTCAATACTCAGCACCACATAAAAAATAAATAAATTCAATAAACGTCTATCAACAAATAAAAAATATTTTAAAAAGTTTTCTCCCCAAACTATTTTATATCAGTGTAGAGAATTCCTTATTTTAGCATACAGTTTTAAAATTGGTACAAGAGGGCTGGGGTTGTACCTCAAGGTGGAGCGCGTACCTTGCACATGTGAGGTACTGGGTTCGATCCTCAGCACCATAAAAATAAATAAATAAAATAAACGTGTCCATCTACAACTAAAAAATATTTTTTTAAAATTGGTACAAGAGTCTTATTATGTTGCCCAGGTTCACCTTGAACTCATGAGATCAAGTGATCCTCCTGCCTCAGCCTTTTGACTAGCTGTGACTATGGTCCTGAACCACTGTGCCCCCACAATTTTGCTTCTTTGATATTTTATGACATTACTTCATTTTGTCCAGACCCTCCCTGATCCATCCCCAAGAGATCAGACCTTTTCATTGCCTAATCATGACATCTGGTTGGCCACATTCCCACTATTTTCTAGTACACCCTTTGCTTCTTGTCTAATCCAAGAATGAGGTGTTTCTTTTTGTCTCTTTTCTTTCTTTATTTCCCCTCTTCCTCTTCCTCCTCCTCCTTCTCCTTCTTTTTTTAAAAATCTTACAGGCTAGGCAAATGCTCTACCACTGAGCTACATCCCCAGCCCTTTTCATTTTATTTTGAGACAGAGTCTTAACTAAGTTGCTCTTGTGATCCTCCTACCTCAGCCTCCTAAATATCTGGGATCACATATGTGAACCACCACACCCCACTTGTTTTTATTTCTGAATCTTTAAAGAACCAAGGTTGGCTGGGTATGATGGCCCACACCTGTAATCCCAGTGGCTCAGGAGGCTGAGGCAGGAGGGTGGTGAGTTCAAAGCCAGCCTCAGCAAAAGTGAGACACTGAGCAACTCAGTGAGACCCTTTCTCTAAATAAAATACAAAACAGGGCTGGGGATGTGGCTCAGTGGTCAAATGCTCCTGAGTTCAATCCCCAGTACCCCCATCCAATTAGAAAATTTTAAAAAGTAATAGAGAGCAAAGTTTTTGTTTTTCTCTCTGTGGGCCTACCAATCAGTTTAAATTAAAAATATTGTCTTGCCAGGTGCAGTGGCACAGGCCTTAATCCCAGTAACTTAGGAGGCTGAGGCAGGGGAATGGCCAAATTCAAGGCCAGCCTCAGCAATTTAGGAAGATGCTCAACAACTTAGTGAGACCCTGTCTCAAAATAAAAAAGGGCTGGGGATGGGGCACAGTGGTAAAACACCCCTGGGTTCAATCTCCAGTACCAAAAATAAAAAATAAAGGGGCTAGGAATGGAGCTCAGTGTTAGAAGGCTCCTGAGTTCAGTCTCCAATACCTTAAAAATAAATAAATAAAATAAAAATGTTGTCTTGTAAATTTCCCAAACTCTGACTCAACAGGACTTTTTAGATTTTGCTAAAACTTTGTTAATACAAATTTTCTGAACACTTACCTGAATGCTGGGCACAAAATATCCTGCCACCCATCCTCAACAGCTGTGGTCACCTCTCCACACTTCTATGAACTTGCTGTCCTTGTAGCCTTAGGACTTTCCAAAATCCTAGACTATTTCCTACTTCTGTTCTTTACCATCCAGTGTCACTACACTCCTGGCAATACTGATAGTTGCAGTTCTTGGTTTACTTCATATCACTGATCCTTACCAACATTTCCAGTTCTCTAAACTTGCCTCTTGCCATCTCTAAATCTGAATTAGTTCACTTGACATTTCCTTTGCTTCTACTCTCTAGCTGACAAGAGTTACTGGAGGGAAAATAATCTGTTCAATCATGAACCATATTATAAGTACATGATAACAAATTGCAAATCTCAGCCAGGCCTTAGATTCTGTAATTTTAAAATGTATACTATTCTCCCTAGCATATATTTCAAACCTTTATATTTTTTTTCAAGTCCCCTACCTACCCATGTTGTCCTCACTGTCAACTAAGTCCTACCTTCTATTTCCCCAGAAAATAAGATCTGGAAGATGTGAGTGTTCTCAGATGGCTCTTTTCTAATTTAGTTAAATTTTGTGTTTTGTTTTTGTTGTTTTGTGGTGCTGCAGATCAAACCCAGGACCTAGTGCATGCTAGGCAAGAGTTCTACCACCAAGCCACATCCCTGTCCCAAATCTTCTGCTTTCTTATCTTCTTCTAACATCCCAGGCTAATTCTCCATCTTTATTTTTGGGTTTTTTTTTTTTTTTTTTTTTTTTTTTTTTTTTTTGTACCAGGGATTCAGGGGCACTCTACCACTAAGTAACATCCCTGGCCCTATTTTGTAGTTTATTAGAGACAGAGACTCACTGAGTTGCTCAGTGCCTCGGTGTTGCTGAGGCTGGCTTTGAACTCATGATCCTCCTGTCTCAGCCTCCCAAACCACTGGGATTACAGCCACCACACCGGTTCCATCTTTGCTTTTGACCCTAATTCTTTCTGCATTCTCTAGAGACTCACTTCATTAGTGACCTCTTCTGTTTTTAGAATTTCAGTCTTTCTCATCCTGTGACCTCTTTTTCACTCTATACACTTGCCCCTGCCTTCCTCGATTCTTCCATTAAACATCCCTTCACTCTGCTTCTCCCTTAGTCTACCTGATACCTTATTTTTCTTTCTTTCTTTTTCTTTCTTTCACGGCTTAACTTTTTGCAAAAACAATCACTTGGCTTTCTGTCCTTACCTGCTCTCATCAGACTTCAATTCTCTAGACTGACTTCAATTTCAGGAAGTCCAGAGATCAAGAGGTGTTCCCTCCCTCAGTGCCTTGCTCATCTCTAAGGGGGTCAGATTCCCTCACTGACCTCTTCTTAGAACTTCACACAAAGTTTGCCTCTTTTGGACTTAGCAGTCTGACTGTTGAGGTTTGCTCCCCACCTTGTAATCGGGTTTCCTCTGACTCTTCTTCCTCCTGTGTCCATGAAACACTGCTGCTTCCTGGCATTTTATACTTCTCTCTTCTCAACTTCAACTCTCTCTTTAGTCTCATCCCCTTTTCTAGGCTCATTTATTTTCTTATCAATTCCTAAATCTGTATTTCCTGCCCCCAAACACTCTATGCAACTCCTGATCTGTATTTCCAATTATCTACCAGACGTATTCACTTAGATGCTTTATAGGCATTGAATCAGCCAAGACAAACCTAGTCTGTGCAGCAGTAACAACAACAACAAAACAATCTTACAGGCTTACCAAGATTTATTCCTTGCTTACATTACACATTCACTGGTTGTGCTACAGCTGTGACCCTGCTGTCCTGCCTTCAGAACTCAGGCTGGCAGAGACGCATGTATCTGGAACATTGCCAATCATGGTGGCAGAGGGGAAAAAAGATACGTGACAAGCCATGTGTGGCTCTTAAAGCTTCTGCCCAGTAGTAACACATTTCAGGACACATTTTCTCTGCCAAAGCAAGTCACATGGCCCCTCCTGAGATAATTGGGTGCGGATGTCTAATCTTTCCCCAGGGAGGGGCACGAGAATATTTGGCACCAGCGATATAACCTACCTCAGGCATTTCAAGCAAAACACGTCTAAACCTTCCACTTACTGTTTCATCTCCATCCACAACCTCTTTCTCCTCTAGTTTTTCTTTTATTCTGTTACTTGGCATCACTGTGTATCAAATCGGCCAAGCTGGAAAGCTCAGAGCTGAGTGTAAATTGTTCTCCTCCCTTGTTGTCCCCATGTCCAGTAGGTCAAATAGCCCTCTGTGTTCTATTCGAAGTTCTCTCTTCTCAGTTTTTCCTCTTGTGTATCCCTGCTGCCCTAGGCAGAACTTGTCTGTTTCGTAGGAGGCTCCTACCAGTCTCCCTGTCTCCATTTCTCCTTCACAAGTGTCTTCTCCACCCTGCTGTCAGGGCTAGGTTTTTAAAACACAGATCTTATTGTGCCACTCCACTACTCAGAACTCTTCAAGCATTCCACCATTGCTTACAAACACTTTCCTCTGCTGTTTTTCCAGGAGAGCCAAAACAACATTTTCATTTCCTCTTTTGCCATGACTTCATATCCCTCCCATTTTCCATATTCACTGCACATTCTTTTTGTGTGTGTGGCATTGTAGACTGCACCTAGGGCTTCACACATGCTAGGAAAGCCCTCTGCCACTGAGCTACATACCTGGCTCTTTTTATTTTTACTTTTGAAACAAGATCTCACTAAGGAGCACAGGCTGGCTTCAAAATTGTAATCCTTGGGGCTGGGATTGTGGCTCAGTGGTAGAGCACTTGCCTAGCATGGGTGGGACCCAAGTTTGATCCTCAGCACCAAATAAAAATGAAGGCATTGTGTTGTGTCCATCTACACCCCAAAAATAAATATTTTTTTAAAAAATTTTAATCCTTCCTCAGCCTCCAGAGCAGCTGGGATTACAGGTGTGGGCCACCATGCCCAGCTACGGTGTGCATTCTTATCCTTGGGATGACTGTATCCATTCCAATCTTGTAATTATTTTGATTAAGGTATAAAACACACACAGTAAAACTTACTGCATTTAGAAAATAGTTTTGGCCTAATGTATAGTTTTGACGTGTCTGTCATTCTGTCACCACCACCACAGTAAAGATTTATAAATCTCAAAAAATTATCACCTGCCCTTTTGAAGTCATCCTTTCCATTACCCTTAATCCCTGGCAACTACTGATATGAATTTTGTCCTATAACTTCACCTTTTCCAGAATGTCATGTAACTAAAACCACATAGCCTTTGATCAACACTGTCTTCTTTTAGGTAACATAATGCATTTGAGATTCATCTAAGTTACTGTGTATATGAGTAATGTGTTTCTTTTTATTGCTGAGTAGTATTTCGTTATATGGACAAACCACAGTTTATCTGTTTCTTGTTTTAGGGATACCTGGAGTGGTTGGAGTCTTTGTTCCACCTTTCTTTTTCAATTCCTACTTATCCTAAAAGGCATGGCTCAACTATTCTCTCCCCCAGATTTTCCTAGTGATTTACACATGCCCTTATCACATTGCATTACAGTGCTTGCATTGCATATTACTTTAAGGAAGGCAAGTTCATTAGTTCTTTCTGCCTCTGGCTCTCATCCCCAACATCTGCTGCAGAGCCAAGCACATGGGTGCTCAAGCAATAATTGTTGAATTGAGTGTGCCTGAATTCCCTTTTCCCCAAAATACCACCTCTATTGGTAGAACTTAAAAAAAAAAATTTGAAGTGGCTCTATGTGAAGTAATTTTGGGAAATTTTTATCATCTTCTTAAATATTATACTTTAAGAATGCTTCTGAAAAATTATACAGTAGAAAAGCCCCCCATCTTTTTCTGTGCTGGGGATTAAACCCAGGATCTCACACGTGCCAGCCAAGTGCCTTGTCCCTGAGCTACAACCCTATAGCTAAAAAGGAAAACTTTTAAACTTTGGTTTAACCCTCACGAGGCTGAGGCAGGAGAATTGCATGTTTAAGGCCAGCCTTGACAACTTACCAAGACACTGACTTAAAATAAAAATTAAAAAGGGCTTGGGGATATAGCTCAGAGGTAGAGCACTTGCCTAGCATTTGCAAGACCCTGGTTTCAATTCACAGTACTGCCAAAATAAATAAATAAATAAACATTAGGCACAGTAAGAGATTAACAACAACTACTACTGAATAAAATAGAACCCTATACTGTAATTAAAGTTATGTGAATGTGGTCTCTTTCTTTCTCTCTCTAAAAAATATCTTAATCCCTCATTGTACTTTAGTACTATTTTTGGATCCTGGTTGACTTTAGATAACTGAAATTGTGGAAAGCAGAACCTGGGATAAGGGGGAACTACCATAACTCAATTATACTACCTTTGGTACCCAAGTTTACATATGAATTTGATGGAAGGAGGTTTTTCTTTTCTTCTTTTTTAAAAATATTTTTTAGTTATACATGGACACAATATCTTTATTTTGTTTATTCATTTTATGTGGTGCTGAGGATTGAACCCAGTGCCTCACACATGTGAGGCAAGCATTCTGCCACTGAGCCACAACCCCAGCCCAGAAGGAGGTTTTTCTATACTCAGAATTATTACATGCATTGTTGTATGATCTTTAACCCAAGGTCACAGCAGTTAAAAATGGAGCCAACGAAACTCCCATCAGATTTATACCTCTATGTTAAATACACTTCCTCATGTTGAACTCTGCTATACAGCTGAAGAGTGTAACCAAATAGCAAGATTTAATTCCATTCCTTATAAATGCATGTCTGAATGTCCCTGCTCTGCTTTTCTAGAAGTTTGATTTTAGAAAAACTAAAATCAAACTTCTAGAAAAGTTTGGCCATAGAAAAACCGTAGAATCTTAGAAACACAAAAGATCATCTCTAATTTCTTAGCTGATTATATTAAGGCAGAGAGATATGCTTTATTCAAGATGTATAGTAGCAAGGCTAAGCCTAGATCTGAAACTGATTTCTTAATTCCCATTTCAGTACTCTCTTCCTGAAAGAGTGACTTCTTTTAGGGATCCCATGTAAGTATTAGTTTTGTTGAACCTGGTCAATCAGTTGAAAGATTCCTTCATCTTAACTTTTATTAAAAAATTGTGGATTTTTGTTTTAATTTTTTCCCAAGTAAGGTATGAAACTGATTTTTTTTCCTCAAGAAACTTATCCATAATTTTCTTTTGTTTTTGTTTTGGCACTGGAAATTGAACCCAGGGAGGCTTTACCGTTTAGCTACGTCTCCAGTTCTCTTTACTTAAAAAAAAAAAAAAAAAAAAAAATATATATATATATATATATATATATATATATATATATTTCCTTTTTTAGTTGTTAATAGGACTTTATTTTTATTTGTTCATATGTGGTGCTGAGAATCGAACGCAGTGCCTCACAATTGCTAGGCAAGGGCTCCACCACTGAGCTAGAACCCCAGCCTTCTTTTCTTTTTTTTTTTTAATTGATTTATTTTTTATTTATTTTTTAAACTAATTTTATTTTTTTAATATTTATTTTTTAGGTGTAGATGGACACAACACAATCCTTTTATTTTTATGTGGTGCTGAGGATTGAACCCCGGTCCCACCTGTGCTAGGCAGGTGCTCTACCGCTGAGCCACAATCCAGCCCTGATTTTATTTTTTAAATACATGATAGTGGAATGCATTACAATTCTTATTATACATATAGAGCACAACTTTTCATGTCTCTGTTTGTATATAAAGTATGTTCACACCAATTCATGTCTTCATACATGTACTTTGGATAATGATGTCCATCACGTTCCACCATCATTGTTAATCCCCTGTCCCCTCTCTTCCCTTCCCACCCCTCTGCCCTATATAGAGTTCATCTATTCCTCCCATGCTCCCCCTCCCTACCCCACTATGAGTCAGACTCCTTATATCAGAGAAAACATTTGGCATTTGTTTTTTTGGGATTGGCTAACTTCACTTAGCATTATCTTCAGCTCCATCCATTTACCTGAAAATGCCATGATTTTTTTCTCTTTTATTGCTGAATAATATTCCATTGTGTGTATATGCCACTTTTTTTTAATCCATTCATCTACTGAAGGCCATCTAGGTTGGTTCCACAGTTTTAGCTATTGTGAATTGTGCTGCTATAAACATTGATGTGCCCAGCCCTCTTTTTACTTTTTAAGACAGGGTTGCTGAGCTGGTCTCTAACTTGCAATTCTCCTTCCTCAGCTTCCCAAGTAGAATAGATGTGTGCCACCATGACCAGCATTATCCCTCTTGAATGTTAAATTTTTCCCCCCAGTGCAGGAGATGGAACTCATGACCTTGCATGTGCTGGTCAACTGCTCTACTACAGAGCTACATCTCTAGCCCTTAAATACTCATTTTCCTTCCTCTGGGAAGATATCAGCATGTCATTTATAAATAGATGACAGTATGAAGCACAGAGCCACAGGTAAACTAATTTTTGTCTAGACTTCCCTAGAGAGACCCTGGATAGGTATTTGTGTCAGAAAATACTTCAGGATGAATGGTTGGGTTAAGAGAAATGTAGGTGGAATTCAACATCTTAGACTAAACTGTTTTTCAAGACTCCACTTAAGAGCAGTTTATCAACATGTTACCAATTAACACATCAAAGAAGAAAATGGCCTGGGCATAGCTTTCTGACTAATTACTTTTTTTATATTTAGGTGGGGAAAAGTGGCAATGTACCAGCAGGCACTACGGTGGATAGTACCATCACACATCCATCTGAGTTTGACTTTTACCTTTGTAGTCATGCAGGAATTCAGGTAATTTGAAAGCTGATTCAGATCATTGGCCTGATAGGAAGATGTTTGCAAAATTTAGCAACTAGCTTGAGTAGACTTGTTATTAAATATTTTGCTTAACTTTTTAATACTTATATTCTAAAATTGTTATCTTTTGGTCTGGGTATCTGCTTGTAGGTGTGCTAGGGAGTAATACTTCTGAGTATGAGGATTAGGTTTCAGTTTTCCTCTCAAGTAGTCCACCTATGTTAGAAATACATTAATCCTAAAACTCTCTCTCCAGGGAACCAGCCGCCCTTCACATTACCAGGTCTTGTGGGATGACAACTGCTTCACTGCAGATGAGCTCCAGCTACTGACTTATCAGCTGTGTCACACCTATGTGAGGTGCACACGCTCAGTCTCTATTCCAGCCCCTGCATATTATGCCCGGCTAGTGGCATTTAGGGCGAGGTATCATCTGGTGGATAAAGATCATGACAGGCAAGTTTCTCAAGCACAATAAAATCTTTTTCTATTTTACCAGCATGTTAAAAAAATGAGCTACTACAGAAAACTCTGAAAGATTTAAGTTTCCTTTTAGGGCTTAAATTGCACAGAAGAAATAAATTTGCCTAAGCCTCTGAGAGCTCATAGTGTAACTTCTGGTCCAAGAAGTGCTCAGTCTTGTTTATACTTGTATTGTGTCTCTACAGGAGTCTGATTTGGAGCTGCCTGTGGGTTTCCCATATAGCAAATACATTTCAGTTCTGATTAGGTCCTGAGTAACCTCCAACAGTACCCAGCACAGTGCTCCTATCAGAGCAATCACAAGCCTGTGGATTCTACTTCATGTAAGGGGGTGCCCTGACTAGATCACTTAAAATTTTTTTTTTTTAGTTGTTGATAGACTTTTATTTATTTGTATGCTGAGAATCGAAACCAGTGCCTCACATATGCCAGGCAAGTGCTCTACTGCTGAGCCCCAACCCCAGCCCTGACTAGTTCACTTTGTTTTTGGTACCCTCTGGAAGAATGCACCAGAGTGAACCTGGGTGTCTGTAGGAATGGAGCCAGACCTTCTCACCCCCAAATAGAGATCCCAAGAGAATCAGACATTTTGACCTGTTACTGAGCTACTATTAAATAGCTAAACAAGCCCTTTGCATTAATTTTCTTTTCCAAATGACCATCTGTGAAGTGTAGCCCTTTCTGGGCTCTCCCCCAAGTCTGAATTCAGCTGCTAAATAGTAGACATTCCACTGCAAGTCTATTTCTGTAAGGGTTGAAAATACACTATTATGGAAAATGCCCAGCTGTGGCTTTGTACCTTTCATTCTGTAATATACATTCATTCATTCAACACATTTATTAGGTATTGACTGTGTGCCTGGTACTCTGCTAGGTGCTAGAAATACCAAGATGAGTAAGACAGGCTTCCTGTCTATGGGGATTTTATATTTCAATGTGGGAGACATACAGGCAAATATAGAAGTGCAGACAGTCTGAATCAATATAGATAAAAGTGCAATAGGAGATTTATAGCTAGCTGAGTATATAGCTGGATTTGGCTCTATGAAGAAGAGAGAAGGATTCTTCCAGGCAGTGAGAACAATGGGCATAAAGGAGAGAAATCAAGTGACATGTTTGTCTGGAGCATATTAAGGGGAAACAGCAAGCCTGAGGCTGGAAAAGTATGTTAGAGTAAGATTGTCTTGTTAAATGTAAAAAGGTCTTCCTGGGATAGAATACACAGGATTTAACAGTATTGAGTATGAGTGGCAGAGGAGACGATAAAATAAAAGATGAAAGATTTTGAACCTAAATGATAAGGATAATAATGTGAAGAGAAGTTAGAAGAGAGCTCTTTCTATCACATGATATTCTTAAGGAGTATATTTACAAGTTGTTGGTTACCCCCCAAAAAAAACAAATTTCAGAGGCCTCTCTACCTGTCCAAGGTTGTGTAGCTAGGAGGGGAAAGCAAGAAAAGATGGCTGTGCAGTAACATTTGCAGTGTCTACTATGTTCCAGCGCTGTGCTAGGCACAGAGATTCATTCATTCAACCGTTATTGAGACTATATTATGTGGTAAGCCTTACAGATACAGTGGTGAGTAAAATGGACAAAGTTATTACTTTCTTTGAATTTACATTCCTGTGGATAAATAAATAATTACTCAGTTAATAATTTCATTTCAATTGTGTTTAGTACTCTAAAATAAAAGTACAGGATTCTATAAAACCATATTCCAGAAGATCCTGACCTGGACTTAAGAGGCAGGAAAGATTACTATGTAGAAAATGACATGTAACCAAATGAAGCCTAGTAGGAATTAACCAGACACAATGGTCATAGAAGTCCTTATATAGGCATCATTAAAGATTTGATTCTTATAGACATTATTTTATTTAATTATTGTAACCACTCATTAAATAAGTTGCATTACATTTTTTTTCAGTTGATGTTTAGAGAGACATAAATTATTAAAGAAACCCCAGGCTTGAACCTAAGATCTTCTTGGATCCAGTATCATTTGTGCTGTTTGAAACAGGTGAAGTTTGAAGCACTGTTCTGTCATGTGTATTTTTTTTTTTCCTTTATTCTCGTTACAGCGCGGAAGGCAGTCATGTGTCAGGACAGAGCAACGGCCGGGATCCTCAGGCCTTGGCTAAGGCTGTGCAGATTCACCATGATACCCAGCACACAATGTATTTTGCCTGAGAGTCTCAGAAAAAAAGAACTCAACCAGTTTGGTACCCCATACAGCCTCAAAATGTTTCAAATGCCTACCGCCTCTAGATAGAGCCAAGTTGACTTCAGTTGGTCTTCTACCAGCAGTTCGGAATAGTTGCACTGAATCTATACTTTGCAGCACTGTCTGATGCATCAACAAATTGAGCCATTTTTTTAAAGTAATAGATACTCATAGATTATCTTTTCTGATGCACTGGACAGAATTTTTACCTCAATGTGCAAAGGCTGATCAGCCTGAACTTTCTAAAGGACTTTACAAGAAAGGTTTCTATGGAATATTTTGCTAGCTGTGGTGTTCACCGCATCCCTCTAGTCTTATAAGAGAAGATTATCCCTTTTTTTCTGTGTTTATTGAGTGGGGGTGTATGCATAAGTGGGAAAGAAAAACCAAACAAACTACTTCAGTTCAGTGTAACTAATTGGATGAGCCCATAGACTTTTTAATGGAGATTTCTGACTTTACCACTGTAAATGCCTTTAACGAGCATTAATTTTTGAAAGTTTTACAGAGTTTAATATTATTAGTTTTACTACTTTATCTTATTGATCTCTGCAGACTTGTGCTGGTGCAAGTATAGACTGCTAGGCAATTGCACTATATTTGGCTGCAGATTCAAACAGGCACTTCTCTTATTCAGTTGACTTTAATGAATGTGTGACATAAACAGATGAAATGCATGTCACAGTGACAGATAATACTGCCATGGAAAAAGTACATGTTTCTCCCTATTTGAAAAAAAAAATTAGCTTTTAGTATTTTTCCAAGTTTTCAAAAGTGCCCATTTTATGCTGCTGCGGTGTGATTTGTTAGATCTAAATGATTTTTAAACTTTTCTCATAGAAAGTTAACTTTGGCAATAAACATTTTTTAAGGTCCCTCCTCTTCTTCCCCCAATGATGTAGTTTTCTAGATGAGATTTCAGTATGATTTTATCAGCTATTTCTTATATATCATAATCTGGCAATTTCTGAAACCAGTCAGAAAAGACATATATTTCCATGCCTTTTGAAAGAATTGTTTTTTACTTGTTTTATAGTCAGAATCGGTGTCCTGTCATTTTGTTCTAAAATAAGCTAGAACCAGGATGCTTTCTTATTGGATAGGGTTTGCCAGTGATGTTGCACTTGCAAAAAAAAAAAAGTACCAGCATTGAACATTTTTTCCTGGAAATCAAGTTTATTTACACAATTACTTGCAGTGCATTTTTTTTTCCTTTTTCTTTCTCTTTCAACCTGAAATGTACTTGGGTTTTCCTTCCTTTTATTCAACTAAAACTGTGTAGAAAAGGTTGATTTTTCTGAAGATTCTGGAATCCACTCACAGGGAGACAGGATTCCTTTCTTGCCCAAAAAAGGGAGTTGATCTAAAGCAAGCATCAATTAAAATGTAAGGGAAAATATATTCTGTATTTAGTGTAGATAATACTTTGTAATGGACGACAGTTACATAGAGTCTTGTTAGTTCCAGCCAGTGTTTCCCAGCCCACATTTTACTGATTGATTTATTCTCCATCCTGGAACCACTGGAGTGAGAGATTAAGGGCCCTCGAGGAGCCATACTCCATTGGCTGAGGAAGATGCTGGGGGAAGAGACAGACACAATGTGGTGAAAACGTCTGGAAACTGCTGGTGGGAAACACTGGATCAGATGGTGAAGGATGTTTGCTTGAACTCATTAGTTGGTCCAAATCTCTTAAACTGGCCTTCTCAAAATCCCAGCAATATAAAGCACTGTTTTTCTTCAGTCTTTTAAACAAGCTTGTAAATACATTGAAGTTTACATTTCCATGTACTGTTGCTCAGCGGCGCCCCAGTGTTTGCTGAGACTGGTCTCTGAATGAGAGTTTTATAATGTCTATCAAGTCCTATAGCTCATTACCATGAGTGCAGATGTCCTTAATCTCTGCAGATAGTGGGAAGAAAGCAAGTTCTGTGACTGAAGCACAACATAGGCAGGAGAGAAGAGATGGCAGATGTTAATTTCTTAAGATTTTTCCTTTTTTGCAAATACCTCACTTGGTTAATACAAATCAGGACATGTTGGTGAGGGGCTGGCTGCTGCTTTTATTCACACTTGTTCAGGGAGAGCACAGAAAATACTCTTCAGCATGGCCGCTCTGGACCCAAGAGGAGGAAAAAAATGGAAGCTTTTTAGGAGAAGAAGGACTCTTGGTGGCTGACTGGCTGGCCAGCAGGCACCACACCTGCACTTGAGTGCCTCGGGCTTGCTTCTTAAAAAAACGCACAGAACGCTCACCATCTCCTGGCATCTACGGAGCAGGGAGCAAGGCCGAGTGCCCAGAAGCCCTGATACGCTTGCCTGCAGTTGGGCTGTATGCTCAACCTTGAACTATACCTTTTGTAGACCTCAGTCAGTCCTAGTACACTGGGGCCAATCAGTGTGGTGGTGGAGGAAAAGCCGGGAGGCCTATTTTTATAGGAAAACAGTACCAGTAAGGGTGCAATGCTGTCATTTTGGACAAAAAGAAGTAGGATTATTGGGAAAAACTTGCTGAGGGGTGAATCTTTAAAAGATAATTACTGCACAATCAGAATTGCAGCAATTCCATTGCAAGCAAGTCTGAATGCATAGTTTTAATTTAATTTGGCTTGATGAGCCAATAGGTAAACCCCCTTGGGACTGACTGAATCGTTATGCATGTGTCAATCAATGGGAGGTGTGCATTCTCTAGAAGTAGAGTTAGGCTGTTTGGTTTTTTAAAAATGCAGCCTGTTTAGGCTCTGTCATGTGGTGTGAAAGATTTAAATGTAGCAATGCTAAAGAGTAACAATTTGAGGATAAGGAGCAGGACATTAAGAGAGTGGTGAAGACCCAAATGTTGAACTAATTATGTTTTGTTGTTGTTATTGTTAGCTGTTATAAAGCGAACCAGCTGGTGTAATGCAGCCAGCATTCTGGGCAGGCAGAACATATTCATTCTTACTGTAAATTCTATTTGCTGCTTCCAAAGGTGATGATTTACATGCAGACATGTTCTATATGGTCTGTATTTTAGGATCTGGTGCCCAGCCTATATCAGAGCTTATCTATCTGGCTGAGCTACCTACCCCTTCCCACGGGCAAAGGTTTAACAAAGCTCACCCTCTCCATCCTGTCCTAGCAACCCTTTATGGTGTGCTGTAAGGTTTTCTTGCTCAATAGCAGGGTGGTTACTCTGCTTTCATTTTAAGAAGGTGGAGGCTGAGGGCATTGTATCAATACTGCTTCAACTCCAAGAATTTTTCCTTGTAAAATTAAAGGAAAGAGCTTGTTATCTACCAATTAACCATTTTCTTATCCCTTGCTATTGACATATTCATGCTCTTTCATGTCTAGTGGCTGAAAATGTTTGCATTGGTTCATTTGACTAATGGTGTGATTTTTGTTCCTCGACTGTTAGACTTGTAATGTTTTAAAATGTATTTTATTAAATTTGGACTGGATGTATGTCTCTAGCAATACGAGGTACTTTCTAAGCTATTAAGGGAGGGGTTGTATCCCCATGTGGAGATAAAATAATGGTTGTTTAAATTTGCAAATTTTTTTTTTGGCCTGCAGGGATATTTTGTGTTCATGTGTCCAAAAAAAAAAAAAAAAGGAGAATAAATTGGCATTCTTGTGCCAAAAGTTGTTTTCTTGTCAGTTTTCTAATAACTATAGAGTACACTGTATGGCAACACACATGTTGCTTTTAAAACCAATTTCCTCAGCTTGAGAAATTCGACAAAGAAGAAAAATGGGAAAACTTTGTTTTGAACTTCTGGGTCACCGTATTTTAGGAATTGCTATATGAGAATTTTAGAAGAGTTTCTCAGCAACATTTCACAAATGGAAATTTTTATGATTCATCAGAATTCTGGATTCAGCTCTCAATGAGAAGATCTATTTCAGTGAGGCCTTAAGAAAAATTTAAGTCCCAAGACAGGGCGGTGTCAACATACTTACATTTAAAAGACTAAGTTCTCCAGGAAGTTTTCTAAATCCAACTAACCTGGGGTTTTCCAGTCTTATGTCTTTTTTTTTAATTTAATTAATTTACTTATTTATTTTGAGATAGGGCCTCACTATGATACCCAGTCTGACCTAGAAATCTCTGCCCTCCTGCCTCAGCCTCTCAAATAACATGTGCCACTGTGCATAGTTCATTTCTTTTTGGAATTCCATACCAGCAAAAAACCCTTTTGCTAAGTCAAGGTAAGGAAATGTAGAAATTTTCAGATATGGCCCTTACTCTCATGGAACTTTACAGTACCAGAAAAGAAAGACTTGCATATAACTAACTCTACTAGAAGGTGAGTTTTTCTTTTTTGTTTTTCTATCAGCACAATATTTCCTTCATATTTGTCACTTATCAAACATTTATCATGAACTTGGTACATGCCAAATTGTACTTCGGTTCTGGGAACACAGAAGAGCAAAATCTCATTTTTTATTTTCTTGTAGTATCGAACATAAGGCGCTCTACTGTTGAGCTATGTCCCCAGTCCTTTTTTCATTTTTTATATTGAGATAGGGTCTCACTAAGTTGCCCAGGCTGGTGTCGAACTTGCCATCCTCCTGCTGTTCAAGTATCTAGGATTATAGGTGTGCACCACCACACCCTGTTGAAAAGAGTTCATGCTAGCCTTTTTCCAGCTGTGGTGCTATGGGCTGAGAAGCTCTCTCTAAACTCCCAGCTATGCAGTTAAACCACTCACTGCCGTCATTGCAAGTCTTTTGATGCAAGAAGACTGTCAGGATCATGGAGCATTGCAAGCATAGCTCATAACTGGGCTCAGCAAGGTTAACTGAGGTCTGCTGGAGATGTTCGAGCCACGTGTGCTGCAGTCCGTTCCTGGAGCCTTTTCTGCTTCTATGCAAGAAGCTGTTTGCTGGCTGGACATCTGGTCCATGTGAAGGGTGGTGGTGATGTGGCCCAGATTTACACTATCAGTAAATTCATCTCCAAAGCTCTGGTGGTCTGTTACCAGAAATATGTGGATGAGGCTTCCAATGAGGAGATCAAAGACATCTTCATCTAGTATGATGGGACATGACAAGCGGCTGCCCCTGTTGCTGTGAATCCAAAAAGTTAGGGGGCCCATCCTCCCTTCTAGAAATCCATGGGCTAGCCCATCACAAGGATCAGGATTCATCTTTGTAATAATGTAGAATTTTAAGGTTAAAAAAAAAGTTCATTCTAATATGACATGGGGTGGAGGAGGAAGCACTGACATTAACAGTATTGGAGTGCCAAGTGTATGTCAGTCACTTTATGTTGACACACACACACACATATATATGTAGTTGGATACAATACCTTTTTTAAAATTTTTTTTAGAGAGAGAGAATCTTTAATATTTATTTTTTAGTTCTCAGCAGACACAACATCTTTTTTTGTATGTGGTGCTGAGGATCGAACCTGGGCCGCATGCATGCCAGGCGAGCGCGCTACTGCTTGAGCCACATCCCCAGCCCTACAATACTTTTTTTAAAAAAATTTTTATGTGGTGCTGAGGATCGAACCCAGTGCCCCGCATGTGCTAGGCGAGCACTCTACTGCTGAGCCATAACCCCAGCCCCTCTATTGACATCTTTAGTCCCACAACAGTTCTTTGAGTCCTGACAGTAGTATCCCCTTTTAAAGATAAGGAATCATGAGGCTAGAGGTATAGCTTGGAGATACAGCACGGGGCTCCCATGTGTGAAGCCCTGGGTTCAATGCCCAGCACCACCACCAACTCCCAAAAAAGAAAAGATCTGAAAGTATCCACTAGAATTTACAGCAGGAAAATTAGAGGTGACCCTGGGGAAAGCAATGTCTGTGCTGAAGGGGGCAGACCTTGACTTTAGAGATCTGAGGAAGCTATAGTACAGACCCTCTAGTTAGGGATAACGGGAAAGAATGAATTTCAATGTTAGCTGGAGTGGGAAGTAGTTCATTTTTCAGAATGGGAGAGATTTCAGCATATATATGCTGTGGGGAAGGAGCAAATAAAGAAGTAGAAATTGGAAATACTGGAAAGGAAAAAAAATGATAGAGGGAGAACTTGAAGGAAATTAAGAGGGAAAGATCCAACACATAAGTAGAAAAACTGAGAAAAACAAAAGTGGGAGAAGGCTGTATGTCATAGCATTTTCTAACTTTTTTGAAGTATAATGTACATATAATAAAGTATCATAAGTTATCAGTTCAAATTTTCTCAAAGGAAAGACATTCATGTAATTCTTAGCCAAATTTAAAAACAGAAGCTTATCAGTGCTCCAGAAGGCCCCAGGACCACTAGAAGTGGTAAGATAGTCACTACCTAAACCTATTCTACCTAAAGTTAATCACTCTCTTTTAAAAACAGTTTTAATGAGGTTAATTGATATATATAAAGCTGCACATATTTAATGTATACAATTTAGTAGATTTGAACATACACCTGTGAAACAAATACTGCAGTCAAGATTATAAATATATCCTTCAATAGCCACAATTTTTTTAAGGTACTGGGGATTGAACCTAGAGCCTGGTGCATGCTAAGGAAGTATTCTACCACCGAATTATATCCACAAACCTTTTAATTTTTTATTAAAAGTCTTGCAAAGTTGCCCAGATTGGTCTCAAACTTGTGATCCTCCTGCCTCATCCTCCTAAATTGCTGGGATTACCGTTCAGGCCTTTGTAGAATCCTCTCCCATTGAGTGCAAACAGGACTTGCAATTTGGTTTCTAACCAACAAAATATGGCAAAGGTGATGGAATGTCCCTGTGATTACATTGAGTTCTATGAGACACTCTGCCTTACTCACTCTGGAGTCTTTCCTCTCCCTGTCTTTCTCCTTGCTGGTCATGTTAGAGAAACCCATGTAGCAAGGACTTGTGTGGAGGTTGTAGGAGTTAAGGATGTCCTCCAGCTACCAACCAAGAAAAAAACAAGTTCCTAGTTACACAACTGCAGAAAACTGAATGCTGCTAACAACCATGTGAACTGGAAAGTAGATTCTTTCCCAGTCAAGGCTCCAGATGAAAACCAGTTCTGGCCTTTGACCACTTGCTTTTCAAAACAAGTTCCAGGTGAATTTAAAGTAGGTCATCTTTTCAACAATTGATGCTGGAAACAATTAAATAAAGCTAAACCTTTATTTCTCACCACACTAAAACATTAGCTCAAAATGTATCATAAACCTAAATGTAAAAGGTAAATATAAGAATATCTTAGTGATCTTGAGTTTGATAAAGATTTTTAAAAATGTAACACAAAAGCATCAACTATGAAAGTAAAATATCAATACACTGGATTTCATCAAAATTATCTTTTGTTCTTCAAGAGCCCTGTTATAAGCTGGGCAAGGTGGCACACACCTGTAATCACAGCAATTCAAGTGGCTGATGAAGGAGGATCACAAGTTCAGAGCCAGCCTCAGCAATTTAGAGAGAAGTCCTGAGAAACTTAATGAGCTGTGTCTTAAAATAAAAAATAAAAAGGGCTGGGGACGATGGTTAAGTGTCCCTGGTTCAATCCCTAGTATAGAAATAAAAATTTAAAAAGTTATGCACTTACTCCTAAGACCCAAACATTTTCCTCCTAGGTGTTTACCCAAGAGAAATTAAAATATCCAAAGACTTAGAGACAAATGTTCATAGTAGTTTTATTAGTAATGGTCCCAGAGTAAAAACTATCCATATATCCATCAACATGTGAAATACATAAATTGTCATGCTGTATATCCATACAATGGAATACTAGTCAGCAATAAAAAGAAAGGAACTATTGATACACCCAAGGGTGAATCACAAAGTAAAGTAGCAAGTGAAAGAAGCCAGGCTCTCCTGCCCCGCAAAAATGTTCCGGTATGAAAACAAACCAATGGCAACAGAAAGTGTATCAGTGGTTGCAGAAGAGAGGAGGAGGAGGAGGAATAGGAAGCAAAGCGACAGAAGGAAACTTTAGGGGGCAATGTGTATGTTATTATCTTGATTGTGGTGGTGGTTGCTTGTGTGCACACTTATGGCAAAACTCATCAGATTGCACATTTTAAATACGTCCGGTTTACTGAGTGGCAATTACACAGCAATAGAATTTGTGGGGTTAGGGAAGAGTAGGAATTCTACATTTCTGTAGACCTAGTATCTCACAGTAAGGGTGGAGGGAGGGAGGTCGCGCATGCTCAGATCTTCCTCGGTGCTCACCAATCAGATACTTGTGGCGCGACGGGGCGGGGCTGGCGCGGAATGCAAACCACGAGGACTCTATGCCAGCCCGCCCACCTAGCAAGTCCCTCTGGGTGCCCTAGGGTTCACAGGACTTTGTGGCTTTAATTCTGAGGGCACAGCGATTGAAGGACTCTATGCAGGCAAGTGATTTAATCTGGAGTCAGAAACATTTTGAAGTTGCGTGGAAAATGGACTCAGGTGGGTGGGAAACGACCTCAAGGCAGGCTGAGGAGCTATATTATTATTATTATTGCTATTATTAGGTGCCTGGGATTGAATTCAGGGGCACTCAACCACTTAGCCACATCTCCAGTCCTATTTTGTATTTTTATTTAGACACAGGGTCTCACAAAGTTGCTTAGCGCCTCGCTGGTTGCTGAGGCTGGCATTGAATTCGCAATCCTCCTGCCTCAGCC